GGTGGGCCTGCTGGGGTATGGGTGGGCCTGATGGATAGAGCTTCATCAGAGCTAAACAACAAAATAAATCTGAAGCTCCTATGTTTAATAGTGTTTGAACTGTAACCATACCCCTTTTTCAGATAAATTGGGGTACGGGGTGGGGGGCACTGATTGGTGGGCCTGATGGATAGAGCTTCATCAGAGCTAAACAACAAAATAAATCTGAAGCTCCTATGTTTAATAGTGTTTGAACTGTAACCATACCCCTTTTTCAGATAAATTGGGGTACGGGGTGGGGGGCACTGATTGGTGGGCCTGATGGATAGAGCTTCATCAGAGCTAAACAACAAAATAAATCTGAGGCTCCTATGTTGAACAGTTTCTGAGTTATAAGCATTTTTGCATGTCCAGACACCCCCACTTTGAAAGGAGCCCCCTCCTCAAATATGGGGTCTATCATAAAACCGTTGGCTGGTATAGTGTAGGTCAGACTCATCTACAGTCCTGCCAAATTTCATGTTGATTGGTGCAGTCGTTTTTGTGCTACGGTTGACCAAAAATCACTGAAAAAAAAAAAAAAACCAGTACAAAAACAACATGACTCCCGCTTATGCTTTGCGTGTGGGGGTCATAATAAAGTGGCGTTACACAAAGTTTTTCTCCCACAGACCAAAAACAGACATGTTAGATTAACTAGGTGAGAATGTGAATGGTCTCTATGTGGTCCTGTGATGGACAAGTAACCTCTCATACAGTGACAGCTGGGGTTTCACTGTGACTGTTGTGTCCTTTATTGACTGCGACTGTACAGCACTTCAATTGCTTAAGTGTTTTATAAATAAAGTAGGTATGGTATGGTATGGTATGGTATGGTATGGTATGGTATGGTATGGTATGGTATGGTATGGTATGGTATGGTATGGTATGGTATGGTATGGGCACCAGCAACCTCCACAACCAGAAGGGATGAAGTGAGTAAATGTAATGAATTGATTATAATATGAGCCAGTTATTATTTCATGATTTTCAGGTCTGAACAAAAGATATAATAAACCTGCAGATTGATCAGGCATAGTTGTAATTAATTTTGGCTGCATTACTTCTCATAATGGACAAAGTCATAAAAAACCATTTTGTTAAATAATTTTACAAGGAAAACAATGAGATAAGTGCCAAACTCTTTAGAGCTCTGTAGCTCAGATATTCTTCCCAGTAGAAACAAATTTTATATTCTGTCATGTAAAATCCAACTTTACTTGTTTTATCTTGAAAGATCTTACACAATTTCAGTTTAAATKTCATAATTTTTGGGAAAATGTCACCACTAAACGTTCAACTTACAGAATAATGATGTTACACATTCTAACTTTTGGACTGCATACATTTTTCAAAGACTTYACACATAAACTGTTTTTAGTACCACAAACTTCTCACAACTTTTAAACATTGAACTATCGACAATTATCTTGTTTTATCCAGTGTTTCTCACTGCTTTAAGACTTAATGTCGTCTCTCTAATCCTCCCAGAGCGCAGAGTGCCAAACTCCCATTGTATCTAAGCTCAGAATTTTCTCTTCAACACTGGAAGTGAAGCGTTTTTATTTTTTTATTTTATTTATTTATTTTTACTGTCAAGTCTCTTACATAAAACTGTAGACACATGATGACAGACACTTTTTCTTATGGTTCAGGAAATGTGACAACTTATAGTTGTTCAAGGCTTATGTTTTACTCCACAATTGGTTCTATCTTTCTTATGACTTCTGTCAGGGAAAGACATTAATGTGTGGTTACTATTGTGACCTTGAGACATTGGTAACATTTTTATCATTTCTTTTGATCTGTGCACTTGTTAAACATTTGACRCATCACAACATGTGTGCATTGTCAGCTTAGTTTATTCCAAAAGTAAATCCCAAATAACAACTGGAATTTTGAGAAAAAAAAAGGTGATGTTTGTTTGAATTCCAGCCAGAAACTGCATTGGCACCCTTACTTCAAAAATTTTCTTTTTTTCTTTTTTGTTAAATTGCACATTTTTAACAAGACTGGATCCACAGCAAACTATAACCAAATAAATCTTCAAACACCTAAGGAGGAATTTGTTTTGGCTCCACTGAAGTATTAAATTTCTTCACTGCACTTTTTTTCTCAGCCTCCTCTCGGATGTGTTGTGCCATATTATATTACCACTTTATGTTCAGTTTGCATGTGGATTATGGAGGTCACTGGCACAAATTTGCAGCCACATTACAGCCTGAACCAGAGGGTGAGGCTTGGAGGAAAACCCCGCCCCCTTCTCGTTCCCTCCCCACTTTAAGAATGCAAAGACTCGTGATTGGATGGCGGCCGCCTGCTTTGAAAACCCTGCCCTCTCAGCTCCAGTCTGAGGAAAGAGTGAGTTCTGCTGCAGTGGGAGAAAGAACACTACGCAACACGCAGGACGCTGGCACACACTCACCTCTGCGGGGTTGCTCCACAACTTGTCTTATTTTGGTGACCAGCTTCTGGTGCTTCCTGCGCTTTTTCCACTACTGGATAAAGGAATATTTCTGAGTAATTAGCACGCTCTTTTAAAGGATGACATTTTGGCTGTTTGTTCTTCTGTAAGACGCCTTGATTCCSACACGGAGGACGCGTTTTACGCACGACCGTTCTGGATTACCTCGCTCCCTATTATTGAATTTGTCATTATGAAGTGTTCAGAGAAATAAAACTCGAGGCGGTGACCACTCCGTACACGCCCTCGGCTCCGTTCGCGCCCAGWTCCAGATGAGAGATCTCCCCGGTGGAGCTGAAGCGCTTTTACGCAGCCAGTTCACGGWGCGCAGCGGCGATCCTCAGCGACGAGGAGCAGAGGGAGCGTCCRATCCCACACCCACGTCTTCTCCGTCTCCCTCCGACCCGTGGCGTCAAGCTAAGAGGCTTCCYATCCGGATCGTAAAGATGTTGACGGCTCACGGCGGCCACTTGCTACACCCGGAGTATCTCCAGCCCCTTACATCTGCGCCTGTCAGCATTGAAGTAAGTGTTACAAAGATTTTTAAAAATACTTAAAATATAGTAAGCAAAATGTTTTCAAAACTGGCATCTTTCAATTTGATCTTCAGATTTCAGTCAAATTATTTAGTTTTTATATATATATTTTATTTTCCTGGCAACTATTCATTTTAGTATGTTTTAATCAGAGTAATGTGTTGGCAGAGTTTCTAAAAGGCTGAMTTAAAAGAGCAACTTTGTAACGTAAATAATAGCTTTTTTATAAATTATTTTATTTATGATTTATCAGGACCAATGGGAGGTTTTTCATAATTTAGGTTTAATTTGAAGATTTTTGAAGCCCATATTTCTAAAGAATTGAACCAATTAAGAAAAAAGCAAACAAAGTTCACCATTTTGTCTCTTCTGTTTTCACAGCTCGATGCCAAGAAAAGTCCTTTGGCTCTGCTGGCCCAGACTTGCTCCCAAATTGGCAAACCTGACCCCCCMTCCTCCTCCAAGCTGGCCTCCCTCTCCTCCAGCAGTCTAGGAGATAAGGAGTCCTCCAGCCGCTCATCCAAGTCTGGAGAGCAACACCAGTCCCTGGATGACAAATCCAGCTTCAAGCCCTACTCCAAGTCATCCGGTGACTGCCGYAAGGACGTTCTTGTGACAAAGAGCTCATCAGATAAAGCAGCGTTTAGAGTGCCAAATGGAAGCTCCAGTGGAGGAAATGCGTCGTGTCCATCTTTTTCCTCTAATTCTCGGTCGCCAACCTCCAGCTCTCCTCCCCTGCACACACCGAGTCAGTCCCACAGACAAAGTCATTCCCCATCCACACAAACCCCGTCACATTCCCAGGCCCCACACATGGACAGCAAGACTGGGAATTCAGARCAAGTCAGCTCAGACAGCAGCAGCAGTTCTGGCAAAAAAGACTCTGATGTTGTGAGGTCAGGGGGGGACGGGGCTCAGTTAGCCAACTCCAGCCAGGTCCGGGCCAGCGCTAACTCCAGCAATGCCAGCTCCGCCAGCAGCCCACGGCCAGAGAGCAAGACTGACCCTCAGGCTTCTTCACAGTCCAGTCTGAGCTCGGGACACATCGCACCGGTGTCACCTTTTAAACCAGGACATTCTGTCTTCCCACTGCCCCCTGCCACCATGGGCTACCATGGCTCCATCGTCGGGGCCTATGCTGGCTATCCTTCACAGTTTGTTCCCGGCTTGGATCCTACCAAGTCTGGTTTGGGCTTAGGACTTCCTGGAAAACATCCCAGCTCCAGCCCGCTAACTGGAGCCTCCCCTCCATCTCTGATGCAGGGTTTATGTCGGGACCCTTACTGTCTGAGTTACCCCAACGCACCCCACCTAGGAGGCAGTAACTGCTCCACRTGTGTTCATGACCCCTCGAGTCTTAAGACTGGTTTCCCTCTGGTTTACCCCTCACACCACCTCCACTCTTTACATTCTGGCGCTTTGTCATCAAGCACCACTCCCTCCCTTTCCCACCCGCTTTACACGTACGGCTTCATGGTCCCGAATGAGCCTCTGCCTCACGCCTGTAACTGGGTCTCTGTCAGCGGTCCCTGCGACAAGCGATTCGCCACATCAGAGGAGCTGCTAGCCCACTTGCGTACCCACACATCCCTGCCTGGAATGGTGGACAGTAAGCTGTTGTCAGCCTATCCTTCATCGGTGTCGTCCACAGCCTCGTGCCATCTTCATCTGCCGCCACCCAGCAGCCCAGGCGCCCTGCCCAGCTCATTTTCCCTCAGAGGCTCTCCTGGGTTGGGCCTGGCCCGTTACCACCCATACAGCAAATCCCATCTGCCCGGAGCACCAGGACTTGCAATGACAGCCCTTCCATCCTCCTCAGCCTATTACTCCCCATATGCCCTCTACAGTCAGAGACTGGGCTCAGCCTCAGCCCTGGGATATCAGTGACAAAATGCCGTGGAGACACCGACAAACCGCAGGCATCAGATTGGACTCTTAAGAACAGCCCTGAAGATAGATTCAGGAAACTGAAGTCATTACCGGTGCAGGACATCGTGCCTGCTGGCCCGCCTGCCAGGAATACCACCTGTTAGCCTCAGGATTGTGACTGGTACTCTAGTAACAAAATTCCTGCAACAAAAAAACAAAACAAACAGACTTTAACGATTAAAGATGGCAGGAAGCTGAAAAGTGAAAACAGTCTTGATTTTTTTTTTCTTATATGTACTTTTTGTTTGTTTTTACAAGTTCTCTCCAAGAAATGAAAGACTATTTATTTTTCACTCGAGCGGTAGGTATTCAACCTTGGGGATTTTTTTTAATTAATCAACTAAACTATCTTAAGCATTTTAAATAAGAAAGATTGGTTTAAATATACCAACGTTATGCCTACCATATCATCCAAAAATAAAAAGGTTGAACCATGATGTAGATGAATTATGAGGCTTTATTCTGGGGATCTCTTTTTTTAATCTCCTTTCCGCTCTGCTGTTTTATTTTTATTTTTTGTTTGTGTTTTTTTTTGACTCAGACTCTGGAGAAATGCATGCCCTTGGGAATTATCTTGAACACTGCTATTATTTCTATTTGTAAATATGCAAAGATGTAATATTTTTTCAAGCTTACAAGGTATCAGCAAGTTTGGGTGACCTACACAAATGGTGCACAAGATTAAAAAAAAGATGAATAAAAACTGATGGCTGTGCTATCCGACCAACATGAAAAGGTCTTATTTTGTTAAATAAATGATACATGACTGCAATTTGACTTGTTTTTTCCCTTATTGAATACTATATATAGCTCCGCGAAGGAGGTTTTTGTTACAAGCTTCAGAGGACACAGTAAATCATCGCAGACTGCAGCACTGCACTTATCTAAGACTATCTATCATTATGGCTCTTACAGCTGCGCTATATATGGCTATGTGTAATATTTCATGGCTCATATCATTTGACAGGGCTGTCCCGAAAAGGGCAACCTGGGTCACATTAGTCCTGTTAGCCGGTCTCTGAGGACTTTCATTCCTCCCTCCTTCCCTCACCCAGATTGCCTTTGTTGTTGCGAGTGCAGCTTTTAATTGCTGATTTTTGTTTGTGAGGGATGGAAAGGGCCTCCTCAGCAAAGTGGAATGCTGTGTGGAGAGACTGCCGGGTCACTGGGACTTTAATAATGACCTGAGGGAGGTGTCGACCCGAGATCTCCTCGCGCTCTGACGGATTGGCCTGGAACACAAAGGCCATCGCTGACAATGGGAGGCGGTTAATAGAGAAATATTCATCAAAGCCCTGACATGTCCCAGAGGAAAGAGCTCTCTTACAGGGACCGCAAACATAGAAGCCTCTTAGCTTGGGTGAGGAGCCATTTCTTTCGTTTTATGTTGCACTCTGAAACAGAGCTGTAAGGTACTAATTTAAACTGAAGGACTGGGTCTATCGTACGACAGCACGTCTGTCTTTTTGAGTGTTTAGACMCAGATAACGTCGCTGTTTGGCTGACAGGGTGTAACTAGCGCAGAGCGCCGCGGCTCAAGTCTCCAAGGCGGCTATTGACCCGGACTCCCAGACTCCTCTGCTCTTGTGGTTCATTAGTACTCCAGACAGGGAAGAGGCAAGCACAGGTGTCACTTGACAGGACCATTAACTAAATGGATGACCCTCCCAAACTACATTCAGCCCCTGCCACACCAGCAAGGTCACGGTGCCCTGAGCAYAGCTCTGGGTGGCTCTCTGGAACATTACACCTCCTTTTTTTTTCTTTTTTGAGGAACTAAGGCCAAGCATTTCTACGAATGGGACTTTCCTATTGCCGCTTAACAAAGCTTCTAAAGTGTTTTAAACAAAACAAGATGAGGATGTTCAGATGTTTTGCTCACATTTTTTCCAGTGCAACACAATATGTCTTTGTAATTTGCAGAACTAGGGCATCAGAGGTTTACAGGGTTTTGGCGCCCCCTAAAGTTGAATTATTGAACAGCAGGTGGGATAATGGGCACTTCTGTGGTGTTTTGTTGCCTTAGAATTTTAAAATGTGAGTTTTCACAAACTGTAGATAGAGAACTGATTACATTGGCTGCAATTTGAGGATGAGTCGAACAGGAGGTCACACAGAGGGGAGAACTTTTAATCTTACAGAAAAGGTGGAATCAATTCCGCTGTTGCCAGTTTACACTCGTTCATCAAATACGTCACTATTCCCTCTATCCTGGCACTCATCAATCTCCCCCATCTATCTTTCCCCCCAACAGCTGAGTCAACACCCACACACTCCATTTATGTTGCCTGGGTTTGTGTGTGTTCAGTCTCAATCCTTTGTGTGTAGAGAGAATGACACAGGAGGATTTGGTCCTACTATAATCAGCATGCATTTCTCTAAGTTGTTTTATGYTTTTTAAATTAGGCTAATGATATATTTCACTCCTCTAATTTAGTTTTACATAAAATTGCACACAATGGTGACTCAAAAGGCAATTTAAAAACTATAAAAATCCAAAAATCTACAAGGAATTAAAAAGCAAACGACACAAACACTCACTGTCAAATTTATCAAAAAGACAAACTTAATCTTAACATTTTAATCACAGCTGTCAGTAAATGTACAACTCGTTTCAGATCTAACACATCCATGTACAATCTTTTTTTAAACAAAGCGTAAAAATGATCAAATGTAAAGCAGGTTTTATTTCATTCATCTTTCTTTCTTTTTCTTTTTGTTAAGGATGACAACTCAGAGCAGAAGCTTCCACAATATTTGGACAATATTATTTGTTCCTAAGAATCAGAATTTATTTCTCTAATCCAACTGTTGTTGTGAAAACAGTCGTAAAGAAAACTACATTAAACCATGCAGCTTGATAGAGAAAGGTGTATTAAGATGTTTACAGGCAATAAAACAACAAAGAATTTAATTACAGACAATTACATTTTGATGAAAAGACTTAAAACAACAAATTATTTTTTTTACATATTTTACATGCATGAACTTGCAGTTTAAGATCTTTAACAGTTTAAACAATAAGTTTACATTTTATAATTCTCGAAGTTTTCGGTACATCTTGTGTGATGATGCCATAATAATATTTGAGCACTTTGTAAACGGTTTTTATTTTCACAAATTTTATCCTATATTGCACTTTTTCATTATCGATCTATYAAATGTAGGATTTGTAGTTTTCTATAAGGCTCTCCAAATGCAAAGTGCACACATCCAAACAGTTTTTTTCCTGTATCTGTGCTTAGATCTTTCTCTTTAAAGCTGGATGTGAAAGCACTTTTTAAATTTGTCATATCTCTTAAATAAAACACTTAGAGTAAAAAAAAAAAAAAAA